GAACTGTTTAGTTATAGGACAAACACAAAATGAACATTTTTAATGCTAAAAATATTTTAGGAACTTCATTGCTGGCCTGTCAAAGGTAAACAGATGAAAGATCTGTGTGTGCATGTTGATGTGTCTGTCTGTCAGCAAAATATTTTATGAACTGAGCTGCATTTGGAGGGGAGTATTATGCAAAATCAACTCTTTTGAGCTTTATATCATGTTTGCTGCTTGTCAGCAAAAAACATACACAGTGTTGCTTTGACTCATTCATGAGTGTGAGAAACCCTTGAATCTACTGTGGTAGCCATGTGGAGCTGCCTAAATGCTTTCTGGTACAAAGCTCCGCCTATTTGTACAAAGCTCCTCCCTGGAGCTCAGTCCCCAGYCCAGCTCCCACCCCACACAGCACCCCTCCCCTGAAGGATTGTTTGGAMATAAGCTGAAGTAGAAGTTTCACAAAAACACCAGGAGGTTCCTAAAGAGACAGAGGCTAATTTCAAAGTGTTTAGAAAAACTATGATGCAAAGTCAAAGTTATTTTTAATGTATACAGTGTTTTTATAACAACTGAAGGCAACAGAGTTACTATAGAATTGAACTACTGTATAATATGCCCCCTTTAATGAAACACTCGGAAAAGGAATCAATAGATGTACCACTAAAACTGACAAGCTTTTGGAGTCGCTCCAATTCAAGATGGCCAAAAAAAGAGGTATACACAAAAATGGCTCTGAATGARTCAGTTTGGCAGTTATTTGGCTCAAATTTGGTGTGTAGTAGTAGCCAGTAGTCTTTCACAAGACATACTTTGAGAGGGAGATTTTGCAATATTGTGTAAGTTGCTGAGTAACATTTTCAAGGTTTAAAGGGGCAAATCATGTTAAATCAACTTTTTAGAGTTTTATATCATGCTATAATGTTATACTCTCATAAAAAAACATGCCCAAAGCCTTGCTTTGACTCATTCATACATGTTTGAGAAATCCTGCAGCATTTTTAGGGAGCCATGCAGAGGAGCTAAACAACAAGTGGGGACCAGAAACGCCTTTTGGGACCAGAAACGCCCCTGGGACGTGTCTTTAAGCTGAGCTTCCTCATCACGGAGCACACCTCCTCACCCGCCCACCCCACACACCCCGCCCATGACTCCTGCAGGCTCTCCGCAGTAACAGAGCAAAGTGAAAGTGAAACTTAAACTGTCTGCTGCTCTTAACACTACTGCTCACTCAGTGAAGCTCTTTTCGGATTCAAAATACCTTTGAGGAAATGTATTTTCAGATGCCAAGTAAACTGCAYCATAGTGCACACGCGAACCCCCACTGAAACTTATGGGACGGAAGCGGAAGGAGGTTCTTAAAGAGACAGAGGTCAATTTAAAGGCGTGTAGAAGAGGAAGTGATGAGAAGATAAGTTTATTTTCTATTTAAACATAAAACAGCATTTTTATAACAGCTAAAGGTGACATAGATACTTTATTATGGTATAGTGTTTAAATGCATGCCTGAGAAACATATGTTGCCCCTTTAACAAAAACAGCTGCAACTTTGTTGCTTCTCAACACAATACTGTATCATCTTAATATAAAACTCTGGCATTAAAGGCAACATTTCTAAAAGACATGCTGGGCTTTTATTTAAAATTATGTTTTAATGTTAAAGAATATTTTTCTTGTAAAAAAAGTCTTGTGCCTGACATAATAGACACTACAATCATGTCATGTGCTGAGGCTTCAGCATATAAGAAAGATTTGGTGCTAGCGTTGGTGAGTGTGGCAACAGAACCTGTTCGACGTGATAAGTTCAGAACAATCTGAAAAAAAAAATCACTGAAACCCAAAGGAAATTAGTCACCATCACTACAATGAAATTCATCATGAACTATTCATGAGTTCCAGCCACGGGACAGCGTTAGCGCTCCCCATCGCTCCTCCGTGCACGTCCGATCAGATCAGGCTGATTAAAACCRGGAGGATTGATTTTAGTCTGTATATCCACGGTGATGCTGAGAGAAGGAGCTGCCTGCCATTTGGAGCCGGGGATGAGGCCAATCTAATCGATAAAGGGGAGCCAAGATAATGAGAAGATGCTCTGTCTGTGTGTGTGCG